CCTTCAGTAGGTGTTCTGTAGGAGTTGTTCCACGTGTAGATGTATTTCTGGTGTATCTGTGGGGAGGAAGGTGATCTCCGCGTCTTACTCTTCCGCCATCTTCAAGGCCCCCCCCACCACATTTTTTATTATTGTTGTCATATTTTATATCTTCATGTTTATCCCATTACTGATTATTGTAGTTATGTTTGATTTTACAGTTTTTTGTCTTTCAGTCTTCATGCTAGCTTATTTAAGTTGTTGATCCTCAGCCTTTACTGTATATTTGCCTTTACTAGTGGGATTTTTCCTTTCCTGTAGATTCTTACTTCTTATTACAGCCTTTCTTTTTCACTTAGAGAAGACCCTTTAACATTTCTCTTATGTTATATTTAATATTGATGAACTCTTTTAATTTTTGCTTGTCTAAGAAGTTCTTTATCTCTCCTCCAATTCTAAATGATAATTTTGCTCTGTAGAGTATCCTAGTTTGCAGGTTTTCCTTTTTAGGACTTTGAATATATCATGTCACTCCCTTTTGGCCCACAAGGTTTCCACAGAATAATCAGCTGATAGCCTTATGGGAGTTCCCTTGTGTATGACTCTACCTTTCTCTCTCTTTTTAAAATTAGTTATGTATTTTATACATATTAGTGTATATATATCAATCCCAATCTCCCAATTATCTTTCTCTTGCTGCCTTTCAAATTCTCCTTTTATCTTAACCTTTTGCCATTTTAATTATCATATATGTCTTGGTGTAATCTCTTTGGGTTCATCTTGTTTGGGGTCCTCTGTGTTTCCTGCATCCGAATTTCTGTTTCTTTTTCAGGTTTGGGAACTTTTCAGCTATAATTTCCAACCCCCAGTCCCTGGCCATAATCCCTTTATAATTTCAGTTTGGGTTGTTGGTTCCCTGGCTCTTGAGATACTACTGCAAGAGTTAGTAACCTTCTCTGGAGAATTGCCTTTCAGTTATTGAGCTGCCTGAGAGTTACTCGACCCCATCCCCCAAGGTAACCCTTCAGCCAGTGCCTAATTGTTACATGGGTCTAAAAGCCCAGCTCCGCTGTCTCAGGTGGGAAGGACTCTGAGGCACAATTTTTACTCTAGAGTTTTCCTGAAGTATCAGGCTAAGGCTAGAATTTACCTGAAATCATATTTTCTTTTTTTTTTTTTTGCAGTACGCGGGCCTCTCACTGTTGTGGCCTCTCCCGTTGCGGAGCACAGGCTCCGGACGCGCAGGCCCAGTGGCCAAGGCTCACGGGCCCAGCCGCTCTGCGGCATGCGGGATCCTCCCGGAATGGGGCACGAACCCTTGCCCCCTCCATCGGCAGGCGGACTCTCAACCACTGTGCCACCAGGGAAGCCCTGAAATCATATTTTCTTTAGCTTTATCTTTCTCCCTATTTTGCTTCTCTTACTTCCTTGCAGGTTCCTCCAGAGAGTGCTCCCTAAATAAAGCACTGACAAAAGTATCCTCATTTCAGACGCTGCTTCTAGGAAACCTGACACTAACTGACTAGTCCATAGTTTTTATTAAGCAGAAAGATAAATTCTCAATGTAGGTCACTGTAAATTCAGATAAATCTACTTCTTCTGAGACCCCCAATGCTTAAAGGTCTACAGCGTTTCCAGACCTTTACTAAAATATGTTTTGTGAAGATGAATGATATTTTTTTTCCTGGAATCCTATGATTTTTTTTTGAAAATTAATTTTTATCGGAGTATAGTTGATTTAAAATGTGTTATTTTCTGCTGTACAGCAAAGTGAATCAGTTATACATATATCCTCTCTTTTTTAAGATTCTTTTCCCATATAGGTCATTACAGAGTATTGAGTAACATTCCCTGTGCTATACTGTAGGTTCTTATTAGTTATCTATTTTATATATAGTAGTTTGCATATGTCAATCCCAAACTCCCAATTTATCCCCCCCTTCCTCCTTGGTAACCATAAGTTTGTCTTCTATATTTGTGACTCTCTGTTCTGTAAATAAGTGCATTTGTACCATTTTTTTAGATTCCACATAAAAGCAATATCATATGATATTTGTCTTTCAAATATTTGTCTGATTTACTTCACTCAGTATGACAATCTCTAGGTCCATCCATGTCACTGCAAATGACATCATTTCATTCTTTTTTATGGCTGAGTAATATTCCATTGTATATATGTACCACATCTTTATCCATTCATCCATTGATGGATATTTAGGTTGCTTCCATGTCCTGGCTATTGTAAATAGGGCTGCAACGAACATTGGGGTGCATGTATCTTTTTGAATTATGGTTTTCTCTGGATATATGCCCAGGACTGGGATTGCTGGGTCATATGGTAGCTCTATGTTTAGTTTTTTAAGGAACCTCCATACTGTTCTCCATAGTGGCTGTACCAATTTACATTCCCACCAACAGTGTAGGAGGGTTCCCTTTTCTCCACACCCTCTCCAGCATTTATTGTTTGTAGATTTTTTGATGATGGCCATTCTGACTGGTGTGAGGTGATACCTCATTGTAGTTTTGATTTGCATTTCTCTAATAATTAGTGTTGTTGAGCATCTTTTCATGTGCCTCTTTGCCATCTGTATGTATTCTTTGGAGAAAGGTCTATTTAGATCTTCCACCCATTTTTTGATTGGGTCGTTTGTTGTTTTGATATAAAGCTGCATGAGCTGTTTGTATATTTTGGCAATTAATCCCTTTTTGGTTGCTTTGTTTGCAAATATTTTCTCCCATTCTGTGGGTTGTCTTTTTGTTTCATTTATGGTTTCCTTTGCTGTGCAAAAGCTTTTAAGTTTAATTAGGTCCCATTTAGTTTTTTTTGTTTTTATTTCCATTACTCTAGGAGGTGGATCAAAAAGATATTGCTGCGATTTATGTCAGAGTGTTCTGCCTCTATTTTCCTCTAAGAGTTTTATAGTGTCCGGTCTTACATTTAGGTCTTTAATCCATTTTGATTTTATTTTTGTGTATGGTGTGAGAGAATGTCCTAATTGCATTCTTTTACATGTAGCTGTCCAGTTTTCCCAGCACCACTTATTGAAGAGACTGTCTTTTCTCCATTGTCCACTTTGTCGTAGATTAGGTGACTACAGGTGCGTGGGTTTATCTCTGGACTTTCTATCCTGTTCCATTGAAGAGGAGTGATTTTGAAACCATGTGAGTGAGTGAACAGGAAAAGTGTTTCTGAAAGTGTTGAAATTATTGTAACACTTTACAAATAAAAGTTCCAGAAGGGATCAAATTTCTTAATCATTGAAAGTCTGTTATTAAAAATTAAAACACATATTTGCTGGTATTATTCAATAAATTCTCTTATGGCCTCTATTGATCAACCCCTCTACATTCTTTAAATATCTAGCTAATTTTATGTACATAGGCTGCAGAGAGAATGCGTGTCATGCTACTTCTCACAGTATAGTTAGAGGGAGTATATCTGGTATACTAATATCTTAATAATTATTATGTTTTCATTTTGAGAAAAATATTCATCCCAGAACTACTTTGGGGGACTTGCGCATCAGGTCCACTTTAGAAAGAGAGAAAAATTCTCCAGCATTTCTGTTCAGTTATTACATTCAGATCTCTAAGGGGAATTTTTTTTCACTCATGTAAATTTTACAGCTAGGACATGTTGCTGCTTCAGTATCAGTATCCTATGTTTGGTATTTCTGCCTTATATCTGGCATATACCTGTTTTGCTTCTTTCTTCAATTTATTTCTGGTTTTACTTAAAAAACCTTTAAAATTTTTGGAATGATTTAAATTTATGAAGAATTTGCGAAGATGCTACCTTGAGCTCCCATATATGTTCACTCAGTTTTCCCTAAATTTAACATCTTATATAACCATGTTGACACATTACATTTATCAAAACTAAAAAATTAACATTGATACCTTACTATTAACAAACTGTAGGATTTATTTGGATTTCACCAGTTTTTCCACTAATGTTCTTTTCCTGTTCCAGGATCTAATTCAGGATACTACATTGCTGTTAGTTGTTATGTCTCCCCAGTCTCCTTTGCTCTGTTTTTCTGTTTCATGACCTTGTCATTTTTAAAGAATATCAGTCAGATATTTTGTAGAACGTCCCTCAGTTTGGATTTCTCTGATGTTTTATCATGATTAGACTGAGGTTATGAGTTTTAGGGAAGATTACCATAGAGGTAAAGTCCCCTTCTCATCACATCATAGCAGCAGGTACATGGTATCCTCTTGACTTCATAACACCAGCGATGTTAACCTTCCTGTTTCATTTTTGATCATTTACTAGACCTTTTAACAACTTGCCTTATTATTTTTTGATTTGTATTGTCTCCTTGTTGCTTCTTATTTTCACAGATCTGGAAAGGCTTATCTTTTTTTGTGTTGTGGTATTTGTGTCTTTTTGATTTTTATATGCTTTAACTAAGTTTTCTTTTTAATGATGTTCTGACTGTGGCTTTTCACATGTTCTCTTCTGCAAGATAAAATCTCATCACTTAGGTTCACTGACCAACTGATATTGCAACTCATTGCCATCCATGTTTTAACCTGAGAATAATTGGGATGGAGTAAAAAAACTATGCCAAATTTTGTTCAAGGGTCTTCTGTTTAAAAATATAGGAAGCAGGCCGTACATTTCAGGAAAATGGTTAAAATAAATAATTTTTGTGCCTAATGGATTAAGTTAAGCTTCACTGATGTGTAGAGTACCTTATTATCCCAATGATGCTACCTGAGTAGGCATTACAGCATGGCACATCGCCTCTTCTTTTAGAAGAGTTTAAAATTCAGTCACATATAGATTTCTAGTGCTATACGACTCCTTAGATTGGGCTTGTTTTTGTGGATATAGTAAGAATGGATAATATAATAAATAAATATGATCATTTTTGATATATTATTGCATATTTTAAATCACACATAGTCTGAGACATTTTAAGCATTATATGGAGGGATTAGTTGATGTAAAATTGTTGTTTCACTTCTTCTATTACATTTGTCTTCACTCTCAGTTGTTCTGGATTCTCTAGGAACAGGTATCCTATATTATTCCAATAGATGAGAAACCGTATACCGTGCACCTTAGGCAAAGGTAATTTTTTATTCTTTACTTTTAGATTTAATTTTATTTATATGAATTTATTTACTTATAATAAAAATAGAGTGTTAAAAATAATGTACTTGTTATTAAAAATTTTAGTTGTCTCAGATGAACAGATCCTCTCCTGTGAATTAATTTTTTGGTCTTAATGCCTCATAGTCTTTTGTGAATAGGGGGGTTACGAACAGGAAAAATAGGGACTTGTCTCCTGAAGATTAATCTATATGATCTTAAGTTGGCAGAACCAGCAGGACCTGTATAATCAGGGCAGGATGTGATAAGAAAGAAGTAAGTCTGTAACTGTATCAGTTAGGGTTTGATCAGGGAGGCAGGCTCACCACCAGGAAAATGAAATAAGGGATTTAATATAGAAATTAGATCATACAGTGTTCTGGAAACTGGTGAGTAATTTATGGAAAATAGTACCAGCTATATACCATGCCTAAGAGAATTGTGAACATATTTTAAATAACTTTCTGTAGGGTTTAATTCTCTCTTGGAAACCCAGTAGAGAAAGGCTGGCTCGGAAGCAATTTGTAACTTTCAAGAAGTAGATTTCAGTTAAATTTTGGGTGTAGAACTAGACTACATGGTATTAAGGAGAGGTGAATTGTGAGAAACTGAAAGTATTAAGTGAAAATGACTTTTTCAGAAATGTTCAGCAGAGAAAAAAAGAAGAATATGAATGCTTTTTAAGGAAGAAAAAACAAAGTATTTTGGCTGAGAGGAAGTTTCTTAAAGAGAGAAGTGTAAACAAGTGATTCATTGTGTTGTTAGATGCCAAAGAGTGGCATTGAGTAAAAGAAGTGTTAACCTACCTACTCCTTTAGACAGAAGGGAAGAATAGTAATTGACCACTCAAAGAACTTTTCAAGTGCATAAGAGGGAAAGAGAGAACTCATATTGTATTTGAGTATCTTATTGAAACTATAAGCAGTAGTAAGAAATAGAGGGACTGGAGCTTGGGAGATGGATAGAGCACGTATCTACTCTGTTTTTGGAAATCACCTGTATAATAATTAGGACACCATGACTATAGGAAGTCATAGGAAGCTATTGCAAGAAACTTATATGGGAAATAATGAGAAGTATAATTATGACCATGTAGGATTTATTTATTTATTTTTTAGACATAACTGAGGTGGCATAAAAAAAGATTAGGTAACAGATTGGACATAGTGGTAGCACAGATTTGGTGGGGCAGTGAAGGAGAAGGAGAGCACATCTGCGTCAGGGGATATCCAGGAGAAATGTCCAGTGGCAGTCTGATTGATAGATAGATAGATTGATTGATTGAAGTATAGCTGTCTTACAATATCATATTATTTTCAGGTGTACAATATGGTGATTCTATATTTTTATACATTACAAACCATATAATTACGTTATACTGACTGTATTCCCTGTGTTGTACATTGCATCCCTATGACTGACTTATTTTATAACTGGTAGTTCATACCTCTTAATCCCCTTCACTTATATATTAGAGGCCATTTATGACAAACCCACAGCTAACATCATACTCAATGATGAAAAGCTGAAAGCTTTTCCTCTAAGGCCAGGAATAAGACAAGGATGCCCCCTCTCACCACTTTTATTGAACACAGTATTGGAAGTCCTAACCATAGCAATTAAAAAGAAATAATATGCATCCACATTGGAAGGGGAGAACTAAAATGGTCACTATTTACAGATGGTAGGGTAACAGAAAACCCTACAGACTCCACCAAAAAGCTATTAGAACTAATAAATGAATTCAGTAAAGCTGCAGGATACAAAATTAATATACAGAAATCTGTTGCATTTCTATACACTAATAATGAAATATCAGAAAAAGAAATCAAGAAAACAATCCCATTTACGATTGCATCAAAAAGAAAAAATACCTGGGAATAAATTTAATGAAGGGAGATGAAAGACCTGTACTCTGAAAGCTGTAAGACATTGATAAAGAAATTGAAGAGAACACCAATAAATGGAAAGATATACCATGCTTATGCATTGGAAGAATTAATATTGTTAAAATGTCCATACCACTAACCAAGGCAATCTACAGATTCAGTCCAATCCCTATCAAAATACTCATGCATTTTTCACAGAAGTGGAACAAATAATCCTAAAATTTGTATGAAACCACAGAAGACCCCAAATAACCAGTTATATTTAGTTCAGATCATGTGAGAGAGGTGTGGGTTTCAGAGCCATCTTTTTTATATAGGTACAAATGAGGCACCAGAAATGAACAAGATACAGAGGTGGGGGTGAATATTAATGATGAGAAGGAAAAACAACCAGAATTGAAGGCCATGGAAGCATTTAAGTGAAGAAGTGAGGATCCAGATGAAGGGACTTATAAAAGTAGACAAAAAGATATGAGGGAAACCAGAGGTAAATGGTATGATTGAAGTTGAAGAGTAGATGTTTTAAAGAAGGGGAGTGTGGTCAATAGTGTGTTAGAGTAGCTTTACGTGACTCAAACTGCTTTTTGGATTTAACAACAAGCAGGTCATTAGTAATCTCTATGGCAACTGTTTTAATGGAGGATTCCCAGCAGAAGCTAGACTGGGTGGTCTAGTTACATTACATTGGATTGAGGAGTGAGCACCAGGTGAGAAAGCATAAGTAAAATAGCATAATAAGGACAGGGAATGATACCAGAGAAGGTTGAACTTAGACTTGTAGTTTCAACACCTATGTTCTGGTTAGTATGACTTTTACAGAATACTCTTCCACTTCATTATAGTAATATATATTTAATAGTAAAATTGAGAGAGAATGAAAGAATAGGGAATTCCCTGGTGACACAGTGGTTAAGAAACCGCTTGCCAGTGCAGGGAACACAGGTTCGAGCCCTGGTCCGGGAAGATCCCACATACTGCGGAGCAACTAAGCCCGTGCACCACAACTACCTAGCCTGCACTCTAGAGCCCGTGAGCCACAACTACTGAGCCCTCATGCCACAACTACTGAAGCCCACACACTTAGAGCCCGTGCTCCGCAACAAGAGAAGCCACCACAATGAGAAGACCACGCGCCGCAACGAAGAGTAGCCCCCGTTCGCTGCAACTAGAGAAAGCCCATGCGTAGCAACGAAGACCAAACACAGCCAAAAAAAATAAATAAATGAAGAAAAATTTAAAAGAAACGAATGAAAGAATAGAAAACTCTCATAATCCTACACCCATTTCGTATCTTTGTAAATTTTAAAATGCTTTTCTCTTGTAGTCTCTTATTTTTTAAAGGAGTATAAGATAGGAAAATTATTTTGAGTAAATGCTTATTGCTTTGAATAAAGATTACATACAGGTCAAAAGAAGACACTACCTTTGTCAGGGATTGGCAAACTTTTTCCCTAAAGGCCCAGACAGTAAATATTTTAGGCTCTGAGGATGATAATATCTTTGTCAAAATGACTCAACTCTGCTGTCGTAGCGTGAAAGCTGCCATAAACCATATATAAGTGAATGGGTATGGCTGTGTTCAAATAGAATTTTATTTACAAATGCAGAAGGTAGGTCAGATTTGGCTTGAGGGATTTAAGTTTGCTGACTACTGCTTTACATGTTTCAAAAAGAATAACTTAAAATTCTCTCATTCTTTTTTTATATTCAGATTTTTTTTAGCAGAGAATTTCATGGTTTATTTGTATAATCAAGGATCTGTGAATTCTCATTCTTCAAATATTCAGGTAAGATTTAAATTTTATATTTCGAAGATTTTTAAAACCCTTTTTACATTGAATACTTTCCTGATACAGAAGACTGTATTCACAGGGGATGTATTTAAGTGATCCACTTATGCCTCATTTCACCCATTATTAGGCTTTCTTGAAGTCTTGGTAAATTAAAGACAAACTAGATTGACTTACCTTCTACTCTCCCTAGAACATAGGCACAATTAAATTAATTAGTTTATATTTTGTTGAATAAATGAATATACATTAAATAATAAAATGAATATACATTAAATAATAAAATGAATATACATTAAATAATAAAAGGAATATACATTAAATAATAAAATGAATATACATTAAATAAAAACAAGTACAAATCTTACTGAACCTGAAATCATAGACTGAAATCCTTTCCTTCTTTTTTAGTCCCTGTCTCATCCATCAATGAATCATATTGACTCTACCTTTCAAATTATGTACTAAGAATCCACCCTCTTCCTCTGTCTCTATCTGCTGATACCACTGTAAACATCATATCTAGTTTGGATTATTGCTGTAACTTCCGGAATAATCTCCCTGCTTCCACACCTTGCTCACCTCCTCAGTTAGTTCCCAACACGACAACCAGATCAATCCTATTAAAACCTGGTCAGATCATATCACTTCTCTGTTCAGAAGCCTCCATGGGATGATTTATCGTTCACAAAGTGAAAACCAAAGTCATTTTAGTATCCTACAGGCTTTACACAGTCTGGTTCTCTTTACTTCTATTACCTCATTTCCAGTTATTCTCTACCTTGCTTATTCTGTTCCAGTCGCCTGGGTTTCTTTGCTATTCTTCAAACATACCAGACATGTCCTCCTTTCAAGAAATTTTCACTTTCTATTTCTTCTGATCCAGATGTTTGCTCTTTCCCAAGATACAATGTTTCTCTCCCTCATTTCCTTCAGGTCTTTGCTCAAAACCATCCTGTTAGTCCTTGACTAACCCCTATTTTAAATGGCACTCTTAACCTTATTACTCTCTTAACTTACCTGTTTTGTTTTTCTCCATAGTGGTTATCAATATATGATGTACCATATATTTTATCTATTTATTTTCTGTTTTTTCAGTGCAATATAATCTTCATTTCACCAGAGCTTTTGGTCTGTTTTATTCAATGATGCATCCCTAGTGCCTAGAAAAATGCCTGGCACATAGCATATAATAAAAATTTGTTGAATTATTGAAATATGTTACTTCACTTCTATTGGAAAGGACCATTACTTCCCTTTTATTGCTCCTTCCTTCTCCACATAGTTCTAACATAAAGGCATGTGTTAATAAGAAAACATACATTGATTTATACCAAAATTTATAGCACTATCTTGGAAATTATATAATTTTCCTGTTTTGTCTGTGATGATGTTTGCTATGTCTCTGTGTTAATTGTACTGTGGTCAGAGACTGAACTTGGTGTGATTTCAGTCCTTTACAATTTGTTTTTGTGTTTCATGGCCCAGAATATGGTTTCATTTTGGTAAATGTTACATGTTCTTTAAAAAGAAAGTGTATTGGGCTTCCCTGGTGGCGCAGTGGTTGAGAGTCTGCCTGCCGATGCAGGGGACACGGGTTCGTGCCCCGGTCCGGGAGGATCCCACATGCCGCGGAGGAATATACATTAAATAATAAAATGAATATACATTAAATAAAAACAAGTACAAATCTTACTGAACCTGAAATCATAGACTGAAATCCTTTCCTTCTTTTTTAGTCCCTGTCTCATCCATCAATGAATCATATTGACTCTACCTTTCAAATTATGTACTAAGAATCCACCCTCTTCCTCTGTCTCTATCTGCTGATACCACTGTAAACATCATATCTAGTTTGGATTATTGCTGTAACTTCCGGAATAATCTCCCTGCTTCCACACCTTGCTCACCTCCTCAGTTAGTTCCCAACACGACAACCAGATCAATCCTATTAAAACCTGGTCAGATCATATCACTTCTCTGTTCAGAAGCCTCCATGGGATGATTTATCGTTCACAAAGTGAAAACCAAAGTCATTTTAGTATCCTACAGGCTTTACACAGTCTGGTTCTCTTTACTTCTATTACCTCATTTCCAGTTATTCTCTACCTTGCTTATTCTGTTCCAGTCGCCTGGGTTTCTTTGCTATTCTTCAAACATACCAGACATGTCCTCCTTTCAAGAAATTTTCACTTTCTATTTCTTCTGATCCAGATGTTTGCTCTTTCCCAAGATACAATGTTTCTCTCCCTCATTTCCTTCAGGTCTTTGCTCAAAACCATCCTGTTAGTCCTTGACTAACCCCTATTTTAAATGGCACTCTTAACCTTATTACTCTCTTAACTTACCTGTTTTGTTTTTCTCCATAGTGGTTATCAATATATGATGTACCATATATTTTATCTATTTATTTTCTGTTTTTTCAGTGCAATATAATCTTCATTTCACCAGAGCTTTTGGTCTGTTTTATTCAATGATGCATCCCTAGTGCCTAGAAAAATGCCTGGCACATAGCATATAATAAAAATTTGTTGAATTATTGAAATATGTTACTTCACTTCTATTGGAAAGGACCATTACTTCCCTTTTATTGCTCCTTCCTTCTCCACATAGTTCTAACATAAAGGCATGTGTTAATAAGAAAACATACATTGATTTATACCAAAATTTATAGCACTATCTTGGAAATTATATAATTTTCCTGTTTTGTCTGTGATGATGTTTGCTATGTCTCTGTGTTAATTGTACTGTGGTCAGAGACTGAACTTGGTGTGATTTCAGTCCTTTACAATTTGTTTTTGTGTTTCATGGCCCAGAATATGGTTTCATTTTGGTAAATGTTACATGTTCTTTAAAAAGAAAGTGTATTGGGCTTCCCTGGTGGCGCAGTGGTTGAGAGTCTGCCTGCCGATGCAGGGGACATGGGTTTGTGCCCCAGCCCGGGAAGATCCCACATGCCATGGAGTGGCTAGGCCTGTGAGCCACGGCCGCTGGGCCTGCGCGTCCCGAGCCTGTGCTCCGCAACGGGAGAGGCCACAACAGTGAGAGGCCCGCGTACCGCAAAAAAAGAAAGTGTATTCAATGGAATATTACTTAACTATAAAAAAAGATGAAATAATGCCATTTGCAGCAACATAGATGGACCTAGAAATTATCATGTTAAGTGAAGTAAGACAAAGACTAATATCACATGATATCACTTACATGTGGAATCTAAAATAATTATCTAAATGAACTTATTTATAAAATGGAGATAGACTCACAGGCAGAAAACAAACTTATGGTTACCAGAAAGGATAGCGGCAGCTGGAGGGGGAGATAAATTGGGAGTTAGGGATTAACATATACACATGACTATGTATAAAATAGATAAACGACAGGGACCTACTGTACAACACACTATATTCAGTGTCTTGTGATAACCTATAATGGAAAAGGATCTGAAAAAGGATACATATATAGGTGTATGTATGTATGTATAACTGAATCACTTTGATGTACACCTGAAGCTAACACACATTGTAAATTAACTACACTTCAATAAAAAAATCGTTAAAGAAAAGAACTCTGTGCAAAAAAAAGTATATTATATATAGTTTTTAAGTAGGGTTTTACCTATATTAGGTTAACATTCTGTTCAACTCTTCTATAGATTCGGAATGCTAGATTTATCAGTTACTGACAGAAATGTATGTGCTTAAAAATCTTTTAGTATGATTATGCATTTATTTTTATTCTTTCAGTTTTGGCTTTTTATAATTTGAAGCTATGTTATTAAATAAATACAAACTTGGAATATTTGTATCTTCCTGGTGAATTGAAACTCATGTATCATTATGAAATGTCCCTCTTTATCTCTAGTAATGCTTCTTGCCTTAAAGTCTACATTTCCTGTATTAGTATCGCTTCAGAATCATCCATTTGGTTTGTGTTGGTGTGGTCTATCTTTTTCTAGCTCTTCAATCTTTTTGTGCCCTTAAATTTTAGATGTTTCTTTTTAGCAGAATATCAGAATTTAAAGGAAATCCATACTCACAATCTTTGTCTTTTAATTGATGACCTAAATTTATATATTGGAAAATAATTTTACCTAAAATATGGGATAAAACTTTGGAAGCAGGATGTAAAATAATAATCCCAAGTATTGATCTGAAAAGAGTAGTTAATATAGTGAAAGTGGCAAATATGGGGAGACTTTTTTTCTGAATGTCACTTTATTGATACTGATATAAACTGTATATAGCCTGTGAAAAATATTCAGAAAGTTCTATTAAGTATAAAAAGTTAAGAAATCATTAGAAAGTTTTGTCAACTCCTAGGTAACCACTTTATATTTTCCCCCCCAGACTCAGTGCTACTACCAAGGATATATTGAAGGATATCTGAATTCTGTTGTCACACTTAGCACGTGCTCTGGACTGAGGTTATGTATTTTTTTGTCGTTAATATGCAAACACCATGGTTATGATATTTGTCTGCAGAGAATTTGTTAGTTTATACTAAGTGTGGAGCTGGTAGAGGATTCCCATGTGGAGGTTATTCAGTGAATAATGATAATAATAATAATAATCTCTTCCTCTGAATATGTTTCTTCTCTGATTTCCCTTTACTTTCCCCACTGACCAGAGACATGTCTAACTTCTTGAAGGTTTAGATTTCCTGGTGTCTTTGCTCTGTATCTTGTTTCTTCTTTAGTACAGAAATGACAGTTGAACGTGTCTGACTATAGCAAGTTGGAAGAGCTAAGTTTTGGGTAGCTTATATTTTCAGCACATAGAGTATTTTTGATACCTACCATGTACCAGCTACTGGCCTAGTGTTTGGAGATGTAAAAATAAATAAACAAAGCATGCTGTTTCACAAAGGGAAATCATCTTCAGAGAGAGGAAGCACTTCTATATAAACAAATAAGTATTATTATGGTACTCATTTTTCTAGTAATATCACTATCTTAATCTCTCTAAGAACTGTAGGGTTTCCTCTTTAGTGCTTGGAGAGTTTTCCATTCTGTCAGGATATTCTTCACCTTCATTTTGTAGTGTAGGAGCCTTGTTTCCACAAACGAATTTTACTCAGTGCTTTTTACATGGAATTCTGAAATGTGTTTTTTAGAGAGTAGTCACTTGAACTGTTACCTGTATTCAAGAAAGAATACTTATAAAAGTTGTTTACTCTTTAAAATTTAGCTTTTAATTTCCTATTCGGACTAGGTACATAAACAAAATTCATAAATGCCTTCTTCTAATTACTGCTGAATTTTATTTTTATGAATAAAATTACTGATTATGTATCCTTTTTTTATGCAAGCAATGTAATCATTGCAGTGCAAAACAGAAAGAAATTTATACAGAGTTCTATTTGCTATTGCTTTCATTAAATTACTGGCGTCGGGGACGGGAGAATGACTTGATCACAGTAATGCTGTGTACTTGCTAGCAACTGATTACATAATTTGTGCTGCGTTTATAACTGTAAAGTTCATTAAATGGAAAGTTACTTTTTTGGATTGGGGAAGACCTTTTTTTATCTCTTCAGAGTCATCTCCAAAACATAAAGAGTTTGGGTCAAAATACTGAGCTCAAAAACATTCTGTATCTTTCTTCTCACTCTCCTCCTCCCCCTCCTTCTCCTCCTTCTTCTCCTCCTCCTCCTTTTTTTAGGAGTTCTGTCGGAGTTTTATGATATAGAATTAATTAAAAGCACTTAAATTTTTAACCTTAATTTTACAGAGGAATATTGCAGTTTGAAAATCTTTCTTATGGAATTGAGCCTCTGGAATCTGCAGTTGAATTTCAGCATCTTCTTTATAAATTAGGAAATGAAAACAATGAATTTGCAGTTCTTACTGAAAATAACCAAGACACAGAACAAAACCCAATGGACTATAATATTTTTATAAGTGAAAAAGTGAGTTATGTATGCTTTATTACTCTTTCAAGGCAGTTATTGCTTTTATTTACTTATTAATTTATTTTTTAACATCTTTATTGGAGTATAATTTTTTTACAATGGTGTGATAGTTTCTGCTGCATAACAAAGTGAATCAGCTATATGTATACATATATCCCCATATCTCCTCCCTCTTGCGTCTCCCTCCCACACTCCATATCCCACCCCTCTAGTTGGTCACAAAGCACCGAGCTGATCTCCCTGTGCTATGTGGCTGCTTCCCACTAGCTATCT